ACAAAATGACCAAAAAAACGACACAAATCAATGTAAAACAAGACAAAATGGCACAAAATGGCAAACGAGACCTAAAACAACAAGAACCGAGACACAAAACGACCCAAATTAGACACACAATGATACAAGTGTGACACAAAACGACAAGAGAGATTGACGGGAAAATCCAACCGACTGGATCAATACAATGAATGCAGCACGGATCAGAACCAGAGAACAGAGGAGCCAGTTGGTGGAGATACATTCAGCTGATAGTGGAACATCTTTGTACATCTGATGAGCCAAAATGACACAAAATGAGACATAAAACGACCCAAAACAGACACAGAATGACAAAAAAACAAGACGAAACGACAAAAATGAGAAACAAAATGACAAAAAAAGGACACAAATGAGACACACATTGACGAAAAACAAGACAAAATGACACAAAACTGCAAACGAGACTGAAAACAAACAAAAAACAAGACACAAAACGACAAAAAAAGGACAAAAATGACACAAAACTGCAAACGAGACCCAAAACGAGACTGAAACCAAACAAAAAACGAGACACAAACCATCCCAAAGTGGACACACAATGACACCAAATGGCAAAAAACAAGACAAAATGACACAAAACTGCAAACGAGACTGAAAACAAACAAAAAACGAGACACAAAACGACCCAAATTAGACACAAAATGACACGAAATGTAAATCTTTCTCCAACTGATGAGCAGAGCAGAGAGGAAAAGTCTGGAGAAGCTGTAAAGATGTAGAAGTCTGTGATAGGTCGAGACGTTTGTGGAGACGTTTAGTTTCCTACATTAGTAACAGCTGAGCAGTAGGTTATGGTTTCTGCTGTTCGTCAGTGTTCTCACAGAGCTGCAGGACTTATTCAGTCAAAGAAGCTAAAAACAGCCAGAAACCACCGCGTCTCATCAACTTAAAGCAACGCGACACACGAGTGGTGGCTTGTTAGTGCTGCTTTAATCTGCTTCTTGTCTCTGTGACTGTCCGACCGTCTTCTCTGCACGTCTGAGGTCTTCTTCAGGAAGTCGAGGTTCCTTTTCTGCAGAATCGCCTCCCTCCTCGTGTCCGTGTGGGCAGGTTTGTGGGTCATTTTCTCAGCGTCTCGTACACCAGTTTCTTCCTGCGCCGAGTTCGACAGCGACACGCGCCTGCGTTGCCATTTAAAGGTGGGCGTCGCGCCGGCAGCAGGCGTCCCAGAATGCTTTGCGAGCGCGATCCCTGCAGCGCGAGTTCAGGGCCGATGCCAGAAGGAGCCATGAACTCTTCTGGTGGTTTGTGGTGAACCGACATCCCATTAACACACTTTCTGTGCCGTCTCCGTTCGCCAGCCTCCACGAACACTCCGGCAGCTTCATGAATCGGATAAACGAAGGTCGAAGGGAGGCGGTTCACTCAACAAGCTTCTCCCACGACTTAAAAACTGCAAGTTAACAAAAAGACTGAAGCCGTTTCTGCTCCGATTTGAACCCACATAACAAACTAAAGTGGGCATTCGAGGAAGTAGTTTTCAGGGAACTGTTGCCACCGTTTAATTAAATGTGCAGAAAAATGATAAATGAAGTTACATGTCGTGGATAAATAGTCGTGTTGACATAATAATGTTGCATCAACTTAATTTTGTGACTAATTTAGGCTCAAATTTCTGCGTTAATCGATTTAAAATAATAAAATAAGTTGGAGTAAAACAATTAAACTGGCAATTATCAACTTTACCACCAGTTATGACAGAATAATCCTTTAAAATGACTGTAGAGGAACATACAGTTCATTGAAACTCACAAACATTGATGCAAACTGTTTACAGAGTCCAGTTTTGTATGATTTGTATGACGACACATTATTTTTAATGCATGCATGTATTTCTTCTCCCAAAAACACCCAAAAAACTTCTACAATGAGTTCAGTTTACATTAATGATCCTTTGAATCCATTTCCAGTTCAACTTCTTTATAAATTTATTTCTTTATTCCATCTATTTTAACTCATTTTTCATTAATAAATTAAATTAATATGTCTTTTTATTGTAGGTAGAGAAAAATCTTTCAAAACTGGTCCTAAATTAGTTAAAACTTCAATAAGGCTCCTTAAAAATGGTCCAAAATGGCTCAAAAATGGTTCAGAACAGCCTCTGAGCTTCAGGATTATGGGATGTATCACCGTGTGAACAGTCAGACTGCAGCAGTTCAATGACATAGAGTCATAGAAACAACCATCACTGGTACCTTGGATGTGTTCAGTTTGTCCAGAATTAGTCCAAAAATATCCCAAATGTCTAAAACTTGTCAAAAGTGTCTCATCATTCGTCCACAATGACTCAAAGCTCGACCACAACGGCAGAAACTGCTTTAAAAATCATTCGAAACTGGTACTAAATGGGTTGAAACTGAACCAAAAGTACTCAAAAACTGTCAAAAACGTCTCATAATTTATCCACAATGATTAAAAACGCGTCCACATTGGGCCAGAATGGACAAAAATACAACAAACTTCAATAAACACCCAATCGAAGGCAAACTGCGGCGTTTCTATATCGGGTTTTCCAACACGAGAACGTTGAGGGTGTTTTCTGTTCAGCAAGACCTCATTCATCCATGAAGTGGTTCTGAAGCCACAGATGATTTGGTCCATTGTGTGAAAAACAAACCGGACCTCCTCAGAACCAGCTGGTTCTTTATCTACAGTCACTCTGAAGTTCTACCATCACTGGTTCCCTGGATTCTGTTTTCTGATCATTCACAGGAGAACTTCAGCTTTATTAGAACTTCAGCTGCAGGTCAGTGGATTTTCCAGCTCAAGGTTCTAGTTTGAGGGTCTGGCTTATAGAAAATTTCAGTGTAGTTAAACTTTTAAAAGTCTAATTTAGAATTATTCCTCACATCGCAGTTATTGTGTTTTATCTCTTTTGTGGGTTAACGTCTGGACTATTGCACTTTTTATCTGTTTTTTTTAAGCTACCTAAATTAGAATCTATGAATTTTTGCAGCTAACTTGAGGATCAGTTGAAAAACTACGATGACGGACGATAAAATACAGTTTTAAACTGGGGGCTTTCAGGAACGTAAACAGGAAGTGTAATGTATGTTTGACGCTTTTTAACGTGATTCTTTTGCACATTTTGTCAAATTAACCACATTTTGTGGAACTGTTTTTGTCATAAAAAGTCTCCAAACGAGCCGCCATGTTGGTTTAAAACCCAGGAGCAGAGACGGGAAGCGCCGTCCAATCGGGTTCAGCCAATGTTTGCGAGGTCTTACGGGGGGCGGAGCCTGTGTTGATATCACCTGTACACGGTGCTGTGGACACTCAGCCAGGTGGAGGATGGAGGCTACATGAGGTCACTATTAAGGGATCTGATTGGTCTGATGCGCATTTTTAGTGCAACTATCGAAATATTTTCTTGTTGCGACTGCTGAAGAGGCTGAATCCAGTTCTCTGGTTAACCATGAACACTTTGCAGACACCATCAGGTCAGAATCACTTGTCAAACACCTGCGACACTGACGCTATGTTTTGTTAGCATGTTAGCTTCAGGTGGTGAACTCTGCTGCTGTGCTTCATCACATTCAAAAAAGCTGTTTTCCATCTGGGCGACTGAACCTTTGTACCAGCGACAGAAACAGAACCGAAACTTTACGTTACGCCGCTTCTCTGAAACCGACAGATTAAAGGTGTCACCTCGCAGGTGCCTCTGCCTTTCTTACGTTTCCACGTCGTCTGCACGGCTGCAGCACCAAAGGCTTCATCGGCGGAGTAGGAAACAGCCACAGCCGGGGGGTTTTCTTACACAGATGAAAAGCAAAACCATCGCTTGTGAATCTCTCGGCGGAGGACTTTAGCAGCAGAAGGTTCAAGAAGTAGCGAGCAGGTGTTTGTACGTCTGAAGCTACATCAAGAAACAGGCGATGGAAATATTCGTCTCTCTCGTTTCACACATCGACTACGCGTCAGTCCTGATGACGTTCTGCACAAAGTTTTGGTTCTGCGGGTTTTCTGGGCGCCGTCTTTGGTTACAGAAACGTAACTAAACTAAGTTTGCACAGGTACTCACTGGAGTGAATCATGATCGTCTTCTTCTTCTCTGTCCTCCTCTTCCTCCTCTTCTACCTCTTCCTCAGCTCCAGCTTTTCGAGGTCGATTTCTGTACCATCGGTGGCGTCGACGGTGATGCGGCAGCAGGTGGGAAACCTTGAAATAGCTGAGCGATGAGGATGTACAGAGCGAGAAAGCAAGAGAGAGAGAGAGAGAGAGAGAGAGAGGAGGTGGGTAGGCGGAGGAAGCAGAGAAGACAAAGAAGACAAACGAAAGAAGACGTGGGGCGCAAAAAAAAAAAAAAAAGAGGAAGAAGAAGTTTTTATTAATCCTGCTGCTGCTGTTGTCTGTCCAGGACACATCAGCTGAGCTCTTAAAGTGTCTGATTTGAACTTAAAATCATTTATATGTTGACAGAGGGGGAGAGAGACAAAGACAAAGAAATAGAGAGGAAGTGAAAGAGTGACGTCACAGAAACCACAAAGCATCCGTCGACGAGAAAAGCTCCAGGAAGGACACACACACTGTGAAACTCATCATGCAAAAATGAGCTGGCGTTTTAAAGTTTCAGAGCTTCATCCAAAAATCTGATCGTGTGACTCAACCGGAGCTCTTCGTCTTACTACTCAGCGTGGCCAATTTTGAATCGCAATTTGAAACAGAGCAGGCAGCGCATCGCAAAAAGGCTTCTGTCCAAACGCACTTTTGATGGTTTCTGAGTGTTCGTCACATTTTAAACCTGCTGTACGGTCAATATTAAACTGAAGCCTGACTTTAAAAAGTGACTCCTGCTCACTGTTTAAAGTGCAAAGATGTATTTATTGATGTTTCGGTGCTGAAGCTTCATCAGGTTTGGTCCAATGTGAGAATCCATCTCAAACAGGGAGCGGCTCTGACTGGCACCGATGAACAAACTCCAAATACTGTAGGGAGGAAAGGAATGCGAAAAAAAAAATTTTTCAGCACCAAATGGAGCACGAGGCTGACAAAAACATCACAAATCTAACTGGAATGTGTGTCAGAGAGGTCGCAATCAGACATTTTTTCTATTTCAGTTGGTGATGAACAAAACTTTTAACGAACCCGTGACAGACTATGACATCAGCATGACGTCATCATGGGGGAGGAGCCAGAGACTCAGAATGTAAACAAACAATGGAAGCATTGTGAATGATACAGAAATGTTTGATTAAGGTGTTTACATTCACTGTAACCGATTAATTGCCATTTTGACCAGTGTATTAACCGCTACAGCAGGAGGGAAACGACATTAGCTTAGCTGTAATACGTGGTTGCACCACCAGGTAGAACCTCTTGGGGTGTTTGCTGCACCTTCCTGCTGTCCAACTGTTCATTACGGCGGTCGTGTTGATGAACTCTGCGGCATCGAATCGTAAAGACGTGGCTGTCTGGTTTAGCTAGCGACCTGCAGCTCATGCTAACGCTAAGCTAGGACGCAACAAGTGTCTTTCATCTCCCGGCATTAGCTAAAATACTGGGCGTCCCTTGACAATTAAACGTAACTACGGGTTATAAAAGTTGCGAGGAGTCAGTCCTGCAGTCCAGGCTACAGATTTTATTCATCCCCATGACGTATTCATGCTCTTTATTCTGCCAACATGACACAAATGCTGCACTAACGTTTGAATTCTGTCCAAAAAGCTCTTAAAGAATCTAAAAGTGCATTTTATTTTCACGATGAGCTTTCTGGCATTTTCACAAGTCTCCGACATGGTTCTACCACTTTCACTGCAACGCTAACGACTGTCATTGGCTGCTAAAACCACACGATGTTTTGAGAGACATGACGTGAACAGGAACCTTGTGAAAATGATCATGTGTTTATTTTTTGCTCGAAGAGTCCAAATACCTGATATAGACCGTGAGAGTCTATCAGTTAACAACTGTTTGTCTCAGCTGCAAACTATTTACTACAACTTCTGCTTCTAACAGTAGAGCGGTAGACGTTAGCGCCTGTTACTACGAGCACACAGGACGTTTGGAGTCTCTGCAAGCTAATATTCCAAAACAAGAACTGAAACAAGCTGCTGTTGCAGAAGTAATGTGACGCGAGCTGTTGTAAATAAAGCACAGCTGGTCTGAAACTGGTGAAAAGGAAGATATGTGCACCTTTCACCAGCTGTTGATGGTTAACCCCGAAAGGTTTCATATAAACTCAGTGTGGTGGTTTGTTAATGCTTTCATTCCCGAGGCCTCCGACTTTCCAAAAAACGTCCTCAACTTCAAAAATATGCCAGTAGGGATGGTTACTGGAGCAGGTCAATTACCTGCCTTGGGACGCAAGTTGCTAGTCTGGAAACTAGGATCCCCAGGCTAACTATTAACTATTCAGTAGCATACCAAGGCTTGTAACTAGCATTTCAAGGCTAGTTGTTCCTCCCTAGACTCCTACGTTGGAAGTTTAATTTGGACGTCAGAGTTAGAGAAGTGGAGCAGTGGAGTTAGAGAAGGTCTGGTTCAAGAACAAGTCCATTTTTTGTCGGCCATGTTGATATTAGCTGCTCCTTTAAACCGGTTGAGTCATAAACAGCAAAGTGCTTATCACTAGAATCTCGAGGCGAGTGATAAGAACTTGTTTAGGACTCAACCTTTAAACAGGCTGAGTCATAAAAATAATCAAGTAACTTATCGCTCCTGTCTTTAGGCTTGTCACCAGCATTCCTAAACTTACTACTAGCAGCTTTAGACTTCTTGCAAGCATACCAATATTCGTTACTAGCATCTTGTGGCTAGTCACTGGATGCACTAGAGACTAGCCACGAAATGCTAGTGATACGTTTAGAAACGCTAGTTGTTCAACAAGAAATACTAGTAGGATGCTTTTGGGAACAGGTGATTTACCTGTCTAGACATGCTAGTAACTAGCCTCGAGATGCTAGTGATAAGTATTTTGTTGTTGTGACAATAAATTTCACCTGCCCTGCAAAAATGTTTAAAATTCAAAATCCCAATGTGGGAATCTAGGGAGGCACAACTAGCCTAGAAATGCTAGTTGTGAGCCAAGTTATGCTAGTGAGTAGTTCAGGACTGCTAGTGGGTAGCCTGGGATTGCTAGTACCTAATTTAGCTAGACTAGTGACTAGTTTGGGGATGCTAGTGACTTGTGTAGGGATGCTAATAAAGAGTTTAGGAATGCTAGTGGGATACTAGTGACTACCATAGATATGTATAATATGTGTAATAAAGGCCTTTATTATGCATATCAATGCATAGATATGCTAGTGATGCTAGTAGGCTAACCAGTTTAGCCCACAGATGCTAGTGCTATGTTCTGGAATTGCAGCTGGTAGCCTGAGGACCTCGTAGGATGCTTTCTGGAACAGGTGATTTACCTGTCTAGACATGCTAGCAACTAGCCTCGAGATGCTAGTGATAAGTATTTTGTTGTTATGACAATAAATTTCACCTGCCCTGCAAAAATGTTTAAAATTAAAAGTCCCAATATGGATATGGGAACCTCGGGAGGCACAACTAGCCTAGAAATGCTAGTTGTGATTGATCCTAGGTATGCTAGTGAGTAGTTCAGGACTGCTAGTGGGTAGCCTGGGTTTGCTAGTACCTAATTTAGCTATACTAGTGACGGGTTTGGGGATGCCAGTGACTAGCGTAGGGATGCTAATAATGAGTTTAGGAATGGGATACTAGTGACTACCATAGATATGTATAATATGTACAATAAAGGCCGTTATTATACATATCTATGCAAAGGTATGCTAGTGATGCTAGTAGGCTAACCAGTTTAGCCCACAGATGCTAGTGCTATGTTCTGGAATTGCAGCTGGTAGCCTGAGGACCTAGTAGGATGCTTTCTGGAACAGGTGATTTACCTGTCTAGACGTTCTAGTGACTAGCCTCCAGGTGTTAGTGACAAGCACTTTGTTGTTATGATAGTAAATTTAATTTTCCCTGCGGGAAAAAAAAACAAAACAAGCAAAAACAACAACTTGTTGGAGTCTTTTCAGCTCGTTTGAAAACACAGATGATGTCACCGCCGACCTGCTGCTGACTGACACGCGCAGGACGAGGAAGTTTGAGTCCGTGTGCTGCTGGCTGCGCAACCGCCTCCTGCTCTGCATTTCCTCAATCCCTCTGATTCTCAGCGACAACATGGGAGCCTGAAGGCAGAGAACCGAGACGGAACCCGAACATGAAGCTCCGAGGTAAGAACCGACGCTTTTCTCCGTTTGGTTTGTGAGCGAACGGCCGCCGTCAGCGAACCGAGCCGCGGAGCCGCAAGTCCGCCTCCAGAGCTGCTGCTCCACTCAGACCTGAACAGACACAAGATCGATATAAACGCAGAAGACTCAGTAGTTGTTCAAGGAATATTACAGGAATGATTCTCCAGGCAATTGTATTGATTGTAAAGAGAAAAAGCAATCAGTTCGTTAAAGTATATAATCATTAGTAATAATTCTGTTATAACCGCTGTATTAATTGTTGTTATTATAGTTTTATTACAACGTTTTATAGAAATAAGATAGACATTTTTAAAAATGATTTGTACTATGAACACACCTGAACCTAAACTAAACCACCTGAGAACAGGTGTACGCCCTGCCTGCTTTTCTCCTCCTGGTGCTGCATTCAGGTGCTGTGGGAATCAGGGACACCACGTTCAAGTGTTAATAAGTTTCTTGCGCCTTTTTTTTTTCTCTTTTAAATATTTGAATTGTAAACTACAACCAATCAGACAGATGAATTTAAGAAAAGGTTGCAGAATATAGAATTATTTTACTCTTTCTGCTATGTTTAGCAACTTACCTGCGTCAGTTATTAGTCTAGAAATGCTAGTGACTAGCCAATGGATGCTAGCAACTAGCCTAGAAATGTGATTGACTACCCAAGGGATGCTAATAGGCTGAAAAGGTTTAGGAATGGTAATTGCTAATGTAGGGATACTAGACTACAAATGCTATTGACTAGCCTGGCAGTGCTAGGAGATTGCTTGAACAGGTGCATTAATTAGGTTGCAAATTGCTAGTCTAGATATGCTAGTAGCTAGGCTGTTGATGCTAGCAGCTAGCCTAGAAATGTGATTGACTACCCAAGGGATGCTAGCAGGCTTAAAAGTTTAGGAATGCTAGTCGCTAACCCATTTATACTCACGACTAGTCTAGAAAGGCTACTGACTTGCCTGGCAATGCTAGTAGACTGCTTGAACAGGTGTATTAATTGGGTTGCAAATTGCTAGTCTAGATATGCTAGTGGCTAGCCTAGCAATTCTAGTAACTAATTCAGGTATCTCTGTGACTACCCTAAAGATGCTAGTGTTAAGCTTAGGATGCTAGTTAGTAGTTTAGGAACACTAGTGACAAGCCTGGTAATGCTGGGATGCTAGTGATTAGCCAAAAAATACAAGTGGCCAGCCTTCAGATGCTAGTGATGCTAATAGGCTAGCTGGTTAAGATATGCCAGTGAGTATAGCAAAGGTACTAGTGATATTTTTAAGAATGCTAGTTGCTAGCTTATGGATGCTAGTAATGCTACTTGCTTGAACAGGTGAATTACATGTCTTGGAATGCAAATTGATAGTCTAAATATGGTAATGGCTAGCCTATGGATGATAGTCACTGGTTTAGGAATGCTAGTTGGATGGCAGTGACCACTATATGAATGTTAGTGACTAGCCTAAATATGCTAGTCATGCAAGTAGGCTAAGTAATTGAGGTATGCTAGGGACCAGCCTAAAGATGTTAGCGCTCAGTTTAGAAATGCTTGCTGCTAGCCTAGGGATGCTAGCAGAGACGCTACCTTGAACAGGTGAATTACCTGCCTTAGTTCTGCTAGTCTAGATACACAAGTGTCTCAGGATGCTAATGATTAGCAAAATAAGTCACACATCCAGTGGGTAGTGACGTAATCATGTGAATTACAGGTAATTCAAAACCTGGGTTCTGGTGCTGAAGCTCTTTGTTTATATTTAATCTTTTGGGGAGCTAAATAATACAGAATAAGTCTGATATCTCCAGGAATAATACATGTTTGTTTTAGTTATGATGATCGGTTTGCCTCCTACCAAAACGTTTTTACTTTCTTCCAAAGTTTGTTGCCTTTATATAATCAATTCCACTTTCAAACAGCAACCAAGTTGATAATCAACAAGAAAACTGAGCAAAGTCACTGAGCAAAGAGGTTGTAGCTGACGGACTAAATAAAAAAATCCAACTTGAACAACTGTTGCAGCACCAAGTCAAAGAGACAAAAAACAAAAAGAAAGACACAAATAATCACCCACAAAGTAAGTCAGAGTGAAAGCTGGTCAGTGGGAGTTCTCAGTTTCTTCAGAATACGAGCGGATGTGAAGACTGAGGTTAATACAGAAAACCTCTTCGTAAAGTTGATCCAGACAAAACAGAAAAGGGTATCTCAGAGTCAGTCGCTCTCGTCTACTTTGCACAAATTAAGGAAACGGTTTCTATTTCTGGTGAAGTTCTAATTCTTTTGAAGTGTTATTTCTTCGGCTCCTGTGTGGGATGGACTTCCTGTCTGCGGCCACACTGATGATACTGATTCTAGGAATTTATTTCACTTCTGCGAACTGAGCTGACAGACTGATTTCAGTCGAACAGGCCAAAGAGAGCGCTGTTGTGGAGGAAAAAAATATGCTTATAATAAAAATTTTGCTTATTTCCTCAGCCCAGCTCCACCCCTACATCACCTGACGATATCGACCAATGGGCTGAGGACGTGGGCGGGGCCAGGATGAGTGCTGAGTTGCTATTGGAGGAGACGCTGATCAAGCGTTCGCAGCAGAAGAGGAGGACGTCGCCGCTAAACTACAAGGAGCGACTGTTCGTCCTCACCAAGAACCGGCTGACGTACTACGATGGAAAAGCTGAGGTTGTTTTTACTGCTTCAGTTATGCTACTTTTATTTCACCTTACAGCTCTGGATTAGCTCTGTTCTTTCTAAATTAACATCTCATCGCAATCAGATGTATTTCACATTCGCTGCACACATCCTAGCTGATAGCTTAGCAACGCTAGTAGGGATGCTTACTTGAAAGATGACTGACATGGATTGGAAATCGAGCTGCTAATATGACGAGCAACTGACTAGCAACTAATTAGGCCGAGGATGCTAGCTGCTGTTTTAGAAATGTGATGCTAGTAACTGCTAGTAATTTAGGTATGCTAGCAACTAGCCTTGGGATGCTGGTAATACGTTTAAAATTTTTACTTGCTATCGTAAGGATGTTTATAAACATTGTTGCTTGAACAGGTGGATTACGTGTCTCGGGAGGCAATTTGCTAGTCTTGATATTATTGACTAGCCTTGGAATGCTAGTTGTTAGATTAGGAATGCTGTTAGCGACTTGCCCAGAAATACTAGTAGCCTAGGGATGATAACAATTAGTCTAGAAAGTTTTTGACTAGCAGTTGCAAGCTTTGAAATACCAGTGAGTAGCCTAGGAATACCAGCAACTAATTTAAGTATGCTAGCTGTTAGCCTAGGAGTGCTAATAGAGACGCTTGTTTGATCAAAAGAATCACATGGATTTTGATGCAAGTTGCTGGTTCAAATATGCTATTGACTAGTCTTGGGATAGAAGTAGCTGGTTTAGAAAATGTGCCTAGGAATGCTAGTCATGGGTTCAGGAATGGTATTAGCTCGCTTAGGGATGCTAGTAGAGACGCTTGTGAATTGCCTGGATGCAAGTAGCTAATCTTGATATGCTATTACTTAGCTTAGAAATGCTAGTCAGTAGTTTAGGTCTGTTACGACTAGGGATGAGTTCAGGAACGCTAGTTGCTGGCCCGATTTGCTAGTAGGGGAGCTTATGAACTACCTGGGTGCTAGTTGAAAATCTTGACATGCTACTGATTAGCCAGTGACCTAATTTAGGCACAGTAGTTGCTAGGGCAGGGATGTTAGTTTATAGCCAAGGAATGGCCAAAGGGTAGTCGTGCGTGGTGTAGATGTGCTAGCAGCTAGCCAAGGAAGCTTGTTTGTATGGAATCTTTTGTCCATGCAGGTAGTTGGCACAGCGGCTATGCTACAAGGGTGGTCAGTGCACAATAGTTGGGTACATATCCTGGGTTGATTTTACAGTTAGCAGGTAGTTAGCTTAGCTTAGCATAAAGTCTGGAAACTAAGGGAAACAAAGTTCTAGCTCCCAGCCAATAATTATTGTTACATTTATTAATGTTCGACACAGCCAGGCCTGCTGCTACGCTAATGGCTCTAACATCATATTCACTGTACAGACATGAAAGTTGCATACATTTTTCTTTAAATTAGAAAAATAAAAAACAAAAATCAGACACAGATTCTGAAGCTAAACACCCACACCACAGTTTACAGTGCTGTTGTCACACATGCATTCACAGTGGAAGGAAGTGACAGTTTGTTTTAGGTTTCTTCTGAAAAACCTTCAACGAGCATGTGATTACTTCTTATCCGATAAGCTGCAGATGGAATCTGATATGACAAGAATACAAGAGGACGTGACACGTCTGAGCGTGGAAGTCTGCCCTCGATATTGCTGTTATTAAAAATAGCAGAGCGACAACAAGCTGTCACTGACTTTCTGTTTCAATCGATCAACAGAAGAAGTTCAGGAGAGGCTCGATTGAACTGAGTCGCATCAGATGTGTGGAGATTGTGAAGAACGGAGGAGGGATCATCCCCTGCCAGAACAAATACCCCTTTCAGGTACGAGAATGAAGGGAATGATGGGAAATGTAGTGTTGCTATGGAAAAAATGGACTGTTTATTGCTACGTATTCGTCTGACTGACACACAAATCATCTTTAAACTGTATTTTGCTGCAAATATCTTTGTTAAACATGAAACTAATTTACATTTTTAACCGGAAACTTCACTATTTTTTACCTAGTGTGTTTAAAGACAGTTTTTGTTGTGTGTGTCCAGGTGGTTTACGACACCAACACCCTCTATGTCTTCGCTCCGAGTCACAACAGCAGAAGTGTTTGGGTCCAGAGCCTCAAAGAAGGTCAGTTATGTTCAGTTCAGTGGAAGCAGCACACTCAAGATTACACTCTCAGTTTGTGTATCTGAACTGCAGCAATGTTTTCTCACTTTGAACCCCACATCTGAAACTGGTTTTCACACCTTTGATGCAGGCCTGTTTCTGACTGTTTCCACTGCTCTTGTCAGGTTTCACCTGAGTCGACCTGCAGCTGACGATTATTTCTCATGATTTCCAGTTGATTCGTTTGGTCAGAAAATGGTGAAAATGGTCAGTTTTGTTTTGTCCACAACCAGGAAAATATTCACATTTGAGAGGATGTGATCAGAGAATTTAGTTTTTACTGTTTTAAAAAATTACTCAAATCCATCGACTTACCATCTGAAGCCAAAATTTCTGAGATTACACAATCAACCAGAGCCAGAAAACTAAAAACAGAAAGAAACTTTGGGTATTCAACTTTCCGACGGTCCTTGAAGTAACCTTCTGCGACGTGCTGCTTCGTCTCCAAAGGGATCCAAATCTAAGCTTAAAATTGTTTATTTTCATGCGCTGAAATTAAAATAAAACTGAGATTGAAAAAGAAACCCAAAAAATTCTGCACCTCCTGGTCCGACTGTGAAGTCATGAGTGACTGAGCTGCAACCAGAAGTCTCCTGACAAAACTTCTGGGAGTTTTCGGCTGAACTGCATTCAGTGTTGATGAAATAAGGGCTGGGAGACGTACTGTATATACACTTGAGGGATCGTTTTTTATTAATTCCAGCAGCAGCAGGCATACATATGTGATTATTTGCAGCTCAGAAGTTGCCCCAGGCTCTGGAGCTAATATGACTAACGTCGTGACCGTTGATGATCATTTGAATCCGCTGCTGACTTCAGAGCGGTGGTTTTGTGATCGTGAGGCTTGGACAGATGTGACTGACAGATAGCGTGAGAGGTGACAGAAGCATGCTGGTGTGTGTGTTGTTTTTTTTACACAACAGGAAGCTGGTTAAGGGAGTTTGGCTGAGTGGGCCCTGAGTCTTAACTGATTCAGGTAATAGCACGCAGACGTGGAGCGACTGAACACTTTGCGACGGCCTCATTATCTCCGGTGTCGTCTTTGGAGCAGCAGTGGTGCCAGTTTACTACAACAAACACGAACTGAAGCTCAAAAAGGGAGCAAACTGAACTGGGTTCACTTCATTCCGGTTTACGTCCCCCAAAGGATTATGGGACATGAGCACAATTATTTTCCAAATCTATGGAAACAGTTCGTGTTCGGGGTTTTTGAACGGCTTCCGATATTCAAACAAGTACTCATGACACATTAAAAACGGTCTCCAACAACTCGCCAAGCTACTATTAATGGTGAACCGTCTACACCTCTGAATTGTGTCGATGTCAATTTGCTTTTTTAATGAATTTACAGTTTACAAAGTCATGGTTTCAACCAACAAATCCAAGAGTTGGCAGACAAAAAATGAGAAACCTGCTCTTGTCTACATCAGTTTGACTCAATTTCAAAACTTACAACTTCCAGTGGTAGTTTTCTGCTGGGTGTCAGTGGCCTGATTCAAATTTGAAAATGTACAACGGACATTAAACGAGCTTAATTGGATGGATGTTACTGCACAAGCAAATTCAAATCTCAACCAACACTTCTGAACAATTTACATTTTTTAAAATAAAGAAAGTACATAAACGTGACTATGAGGTTCTCCTGAGCTGTTTGGCACCTTTCAGCTCATTGTTTTGGTTTTTCCTCTATTAGCATTCTGTCACAGCGTCGTCTTTGGGCGCAGCAGACGGACCTTTTCGAGATGGAAAGTTTTTTTTTTTTTTCTCTCACGTTTTGTCGATTGCCTTTGTGTCTTTGTGTGTGAATCCAGAGATCAAAGACAACCCGGCGGTCTTGATGAAGTTTCACCCTCAGTTCTGGCAGGAGGGGGCGTGGCTCTGCTGTCGCCAGGCAGACAAACAGGCGCTGGGCTGCGAGGAGTACAAACTGTTCGGAGACAGTAAGAGACGCATCTTTGTCTTTCTGTGCTTTTTTAAAAATTCATTTTCGAGCATCTTGACGTTAACCACCACAACCCTGCCTGACCTAAAAACCAACCAGCAGACCTTTGTTGTCGTCACTGAGCTCAGTTAAACCTCAACCGCTCACAAAGGCAGCAAGAAACTAAACTGAACAGCAGAGCACGAACCCTGCAGCAAGCACACATTACAAAATGGGCCTTTCTTCAAATGTGAACACGATGAAAGGGTTTGCTTTTTGGGCCTCACCGGTCCACCCGTTCACTTCTGAATAATTCTGTTCAAATACTTCAGAATTGTACCTCGATCTGACATTTGTGTCAACATTTAATAAAAATACAAACCGTGTAGCACTACAGACCTTTTTAGCATCTTTTAGCTCATGGTCTTGGTTGTGGGGTTTGCTTGCTTTTAAGTCTGTGGAGTAGTTAAGATGGATTTCAAATTCAATTCATGTAGGCCTCCCAACACAGCTCTGAAATGTTGGACCGGGACCCTCTGAAGGCGTCCTTTGGGGTTTAGAAGCAGGACGTTGGCAGCGGATCCTTTGGGTTCTCTGGGTCGTGTGGTTGGGATGCTAGAACCACTCTAAAGCAAGTCCAAAACCAAGTCAAATACAAGTCCGAAACAAGTCTCAAACCAAGTCCAAGATCAAGTCCAGAAGTTGGTCTAAAACCCAAACCAAAGACTAATTCAACATAGAGTCAAAAACTAAATCCAGAACCAGTCTAAAACTAGTCCAAAACCAAGTCATAAACCAGTCTAGAGCGTTCAAACATCAAACGCTAAAGCTTGATACTTTAGCACTGGTGGCTAAAACAAAGCAGAGCATGTTGGAATTATTTTTTCTACCAAAATATTTAGTAGAAAACAGAGAAGACATCATGACTGTGCGCCGAATGGTCGAGCTGTGAAAAGGAAGAAGATCGCACAAGTATGGCTTTTGCGGTTGCAATTGGAACAACAGCGACAACCCTGAAAGAGTTGTAGTTGAAGTAGCAGCTGCTGGACAGACAGAAGTTCTAAGATCTTCAGAAGTCTCGGGCTGTGTTCGCCCCACTGTGAAGAATCATCACTGAAGCCGTCCAGTCTGTAACCAGCTCAACACAGAGGCGTTGTTCTGCCGACCTACCGTAGCATGAATAAAACTATGTGTAGGGAAGCTTCTGTAGTCTGCATTGGTCAACGTATGAGGATACAGAAAACCATAAATTTGCATGAACACTGGCCCAAGGTATCGACTACAGTATAGGAGTATAAATCAAGCCGAGCAGTGAGGCTTTAAATATACACCGTAAGACCTCTAGCTTACCTCATTCTAAACCCCTTTATTTCTGTTTTATTTAGACGTTTTTTAATGTAGTGTATCTTCTTATACTAGTCTTTATCTGTCTGAATGTACTTCTGGTGGGAAGAAAATTGCAGAACATGATTCTTTCACGGGGAGATTATGATGATATTTGCAGTGAATCTGAAACAAGAGTTCAGTTGTTGATCATCCCAAACCAGAGCAGCAGTGAGGGGTCAAGAGGCCACAGTGATCTGAGAGTCCTGACGATACAACAAAAAAAGAAAACGCTCAAGGTTTGTGCTTGACTCACTGTTTCTGTTCCTCTTTTGTAGTTTCCAGGAAGCCTTTGCCCCCGATTCCTGGAGAGGAACCTACAGAAGTGAGGGTAACCGCTAACCACTCAAGCGGACAGATTCACCAGCACCATTGTGCATCGATATTATCTCAAGGGTTTCGTCATTCTTTGTTCTGCAGCCTCGCCCTCCGCCTCCTCCCGTCCCGCTGGACTCTGAGGAGGAAGACGAGGATGAAGACGACGACGAGGAGGACGAGTTGGTGGTGGTGGCTCTGTACGACTTCCCGGGAACCGAGCCCCACGACCTGAGTCTGGTCAAAGGCGGCGAGTACGTCATCCTGGAGAAATGTGACGTGAACTGGTACAAGGCGCGCAACAAATATGGGTGAGTCAACGCAGCCGTGATTGGTGGACTGTCACGCTGTTGTTAAATACGTTCTACCTGAGGTGTTACGTTACGGGTTTTTATCTTCAGCGATCTGTAAACCAGGCTGTTGCTCTTTAACGAGGGGTTAAAAACTGAAAAACGCAATTTGAAAACACGTTACAGGATGCAGTTAGAGCGACAGGAAGGCCACATGTCACAGGAGCTGCTAATCAAATATTCAGAGCAGAAACAAAACGTGAGCACATGTAGGCGATAAAACAAGACTCAAAGGAGGAAAGCAGCACCTTCCAGTCGCTGTTGTATTGGTTCCCACTTAGTGGTCTTAATATTTCAGATTTACTTTTATTTTAGAAGCTGATCTTACACGTTGCTTTTCTGTTTGCCTTCAACTTTTTAGTTCACATACATGAATCTACAAGTTTTATCCCGTCTTCCTGTTTGGTGAAAATTTCGTTGCTGCCAGACTGATATCATGTTTAGTCGACTCAAGCTGTTTAAAATGATTTTTTAGTTTGATCTATGTTGATGTCAACCTGTTTCCATCGCTCCAGAAAAACTTAATTTATCGCAACTTCTACTTAAGGTTGATGAAATGCAAGAGAAGGAAAGAAGATCTTCCTTTGGAGAAAACTCATATTCACTTTAAAATACGAGGAATTAAGAGTTTGCCACTAATATTACCACTTCGTGGGCCGACTGGATTAAAATTAGACACCGGAGTGGATTGATTCCTTCAAGAAAAACAAATTCTGATTGGCTTGTTGAAGTCAGTTTTCAGGAGCTTTGTGGGCTCAGTGGTGCCCCTTGTGGCAGCTGGAGGAAAAACAGCTGCTGTGACTGCAGTTCCCACTAGCTGTGTCTCCGTCAACTTATTTTTATTACAAATGTTGCATCACGAAAACTAAATGGACATAGCAACAATAAAAAAAAACGAAAATCAGTTTCACGAATGTTTTTACGGTCACTCAACGTGGTTTTTGTTCTTTGAAAGGTTCTGATGTAGCAAATATTTAACTCACACGTCTGTCTGGATTAATGACCGTGAAAGTTCGTGGACTTGGCTTTAGGCACATCGATAAGTTAAATGTAGCCTCCTTCAGGAGGGGTTTCTGACTGTTTGTTGAACACTGCATTCAGGCTGACCACTGGCCACGGCGCTGGACGTCGATGCTGCATTTTGTTCTGACGTCTGCGTCCTTGTGTGTTTTGTTTGTCTGGTTTGTGTTTCACAGCGAGGAAGGCTACATCCCAAGTAACTATGTCACGGAGAAGAAATCCGGAAACCTGGAGCAGTTTGTGTGAGTGCGTTAATCATTCCCCCATTTAAAGTTACACATTAAAGTAATAGTTGATGCTGGCTGGATCCAAACGAAGGGACTTGTTGACTGTACAAACTTGTGCCAATGAAGTTCGGCTATAAAGAGGGCTTTCCACCATTTGTCAAGTCTGCATGCACACGTTTCAGAGACATAAGGTGTGCCCATCTACCAAAGAGTTGGATACATTTTGAGTTTCTAATAACACATATTAGGGGCAGTAGTGTTTGGCAGTCTCGGGATTTGGTATTTGGGTTGTTAGTCCCCTGCACTGTGTCAGCATTTATTAAACAACGTATGCAGACAGAAGAGCAGCTTCTCAACACTGAGCCCAACCAACCGTCGTACACATTAAAACCGACTGATTCACTGACGGGTAGTGAATAACATCGATCGTCTCGTTAAAAAGCACTGCTCTGCTGGAAAACCTTCATGTGGACGTTACTTTAACATGGACCACCCACCAGAACGTTGTTGCAGTCCAGGCACACTGACCCACGGTAACAGAATTTAGCATGCTTCGGACTGTGTTTTAGACTGCTTCTGGACTTGATTTAGGACTGCTATGGACTGCTTTTTGACTTGGTTTTGGACTAGTTTTAGGCAGGCTTTGGATTAAGTTTTAGACTTTGCATCATACTGGTCTTTGGACTGGGCTTTAGAATGTTCTGGGCTGCTTCTGGACTTGATTTTGGGCTGTTTTAGACTTTGCATTGGACTGGTCTTTGGATTGATGGGACTGCTTTTGGACGTTGAATGTTTAAGACTGGTTTATGGCCTAGTTTTGGACCCGTTTTAGACTGCTTTTGGATTTGGTTTTAGACTTTACATTGGACCATTCTTTCAGTTAGCTTTTAGACTGGCTTCAGACTGCTTCTGGACTTGATTTTGGACTTGCTTTTAGACTTATTTTGGACTGATATTGAACTTGGTCTGGACTGGGCTTAGACCATATTAGACTGCTTTTGGACTGTGTTTCTAAAAAGGCCTTGAACTGATTTTGGACTTGTTTTTTTGCCTCTTTGTCAGACTTGATTCTTGACTTGTTTTGGACTTGCATTGGGCATGATTTTGGACTGTGACAGACTGGTTTTTGACTTTGTTTTGGACGAGTTTTAGATATGTTTTGGATTTAGTTTTTGACTTTATGTTGAACTAGTCTTTGGATTGGGGTTAAGATTAACTTTTGACTGCTTCTGGACTTGATTTTGGACTTGGTTTGAGACTTGTTTCAGACTTGTATTTGACTTGGTTTTAGACTGTCCAACATTTCAGAGCTGTGTTGGGAGGCCTACACAGTATTAGACAGATTGTTTTAAGGTTGTGCTAACCGGACTATACCCTCCACTAAGTAATTAGGGTCGACTCTTAGCATTATCTGACTCGACTGCCATTTAGATCATACATAAAAAGCTTCACATAGCCAAAACAACTAGACCAATCAACTTAGTGTGCTAGTCAGCTTCTACAGACACGTTTCCAAGCATGACCACAATCCTCCCCCCTCTGCTATTCACACAAGGTACAACCAGGAGGTATAAGTAGGCCAAGAAAGCACGACCTTTTACCACAGAAAACAGGTGATTAGCTACATGCATGTCTGCATGGTTCAACTGCTAGCTAATGTTTGATTCGAGTGCTTCACCTTCATCTTGCAAAGCTAACCATTAAGTCATTTCCCTTTTTGACGACGACAGCAAAATGACTTCCGGACTACCGCTAACCGTCCAGTTGCTGCACTCCCGTGGCCGAAGATGAAACGTGCCATTTTTCTGGAGATCTGTATAGTTTATTCTGGAGGTATTCTTCACCCTGTTAGGGCCTAGTTTGTGTTGGACATTTGGATTCAGCCAGTTTGTATTTATGAACATCTTGTAAAGCTGACGGACGATCGGAGAAAGACTCATGTTTTGTTTGTTTGTTGTAGTTGGTACAGTAAACAAGTCAACAGGAACAAGGCAGAAGAGCTTCTGAGAAAGGAGGTGAGTCTCTCCTCCCTTTATTTGTTTCCTAAACTCTTTGTTGTTCTTCCTTTCCCTTCTATAACTCCTTCTTAGACACTTTTCTTCATTCTTCTTTCCTTTATGAATCCTCCCATTTTTCTTGTTTTGGCCCAGGAACAGGCCTAGATGGGGTTTTTTTTCTCCCTCTCTCAAAGATATACAAAACCAAATAATCTCATCCAGTTTTCAGCTTGTGTTCTTATGTGCATGTCGCCCCCTGCAGGACAAAGAAGGAGCCTTCATCGTCAGAGACTCCAGCACACCAGGAACCTACACTGTCTCTCTTTACGCCAAGTCTGTCGCAGGGTAACGTACATGTGTCAGATCTGTTGTGTTCATTCAGTCAGTAAGGTTTGTTTGTTGTGCCAAACTGTCTCCATACTGGGCAAGCAGCCGCCGAGAGCTTCAGGTTCTTAACACAGATTTCTTACCTTGATTTTTCTTATGTATGACCCTAAAAGGTAGAGGAAGGAAAGTGGTGTGAGCAACCTTTGTCTTTAAAATGTCACCTCAGTTTTTAAGGTACTCTCAGGTTGCTCGAAGCATCTCGGAGAACCACAGTTCCTCTGTCTGCCTCTGTGATGTTGGGATCAGGGTTCTGGTTTGGCACAGGGTCTTGGATTTGGTTGTAGCTGTTTTTTAGACCGAGTTTTAGCATTTGGTGAGAGTCTTGGCATCAGACTGGACTTTGGACTTGATCTTGACCTAGTTAGACTGCTTTTGGACTTGATCTTGACCTAGTTAGACTGCTTTTGGACTTGATTTTCAGCAGTCTTTTGGCCAGTTTTCTGACTTGCTTTAGAAGTTTACACTGGTTTTGCATTTGGTCTTAGACGCTGTTCTAAACTGGTCTTTGAACTGGGTTGTAGACTGGTTTTAGGCTGCTTTTGGACTCTATCTTGGACAGGTAGTTGCCTGTTAGGGTTGTTTAGATTTAGTTTTGGTTTATACTGCTTCAGAAATTGACTTTGGACTGGTTTTAGACGGGTTAGAACCTATGTATTTGTTGTTGATCTTGGTTTTGGACCAGTATTGGACTTGGTTTGGGCTGGTTTTGTACTGTGTAAGACTGCCTTTGTACTCAAAGCCTGTGTCAGCTGCAGCGTTGTGATGTTTTGTTTGTAGGGACGGAGGTGCAAGTATAAAACATTACCACATCAAGGAGACGCAAAACGTACCCGTACAGTTTTACCTGGCAGAGAAGCACCTGTTCGACTCCATCCCCGAGCTGATCGACTACCACAAACACAACGCAGCAGGTAAACGACTCGCATGCAACACAATCAGCTCATACTGACCACTAACCAGCTAGAATCTAGATTTTAAATCAAGATTTTAAGGTTTGGTTTGGGTTTCCAAATGAACGGCGCATCACAGATAAGTCGCTCAACAACTGCTGTAAAGTTGAAAATCAGACGATTCTTTCTGTTTTTTGCAGTTTTTTGTTTTGTTAAGACGGCATGTCTTTTAAATCTACCAGCGAGGCGGGCTCAGAGTTAATCATTCTGTATAAAGTTTCAAAGGTTAATTTCCCAAAACATTATTTATAATCAGATCTGACAAAATGTGAAGCTTTAATGAGCAACAATTTCAAGTAAACGTTAGCTTAAATGATTTATTTTGACAGATTGTCAGATAAAACTGAATTTTATGAAATTTTAGAGTTCAGTTTAGGTGGGATTTTCCAGATGGAACGGCATGTTTAAAGTTTAAAATCCCCAAATTCCTTCTGTTTTTGTCGTGTCTGGTTGATAAATGGAACCATTTTGGAGTTTTTTTTAAAGATTAGATGTTTTTTTTTAAAAACTTGTTCTTTGCGTGCTGACAGCAGGTTTAGTTGGGTGGTAATTCTCTGTCACTGGGTTCGTCCTGACACATTTCTCATTTTACTAACTCTTTAGATAAATCCTACAGATTACTCCTCCAGACTCATGAAACGCTTCTAGAAGTTAATGTCTTCACTGTCTGTCTCAGGTCTTGTGGCCAGATTGAGATATCCAGTCGGAAAACAAGACAAATCAGCTCCGTCCACGGCTGGATTCAGCTACGGTGAGTTCAGACAGTTTATTTTTATTTACACAAAGCGTTCCGTCTGACCTTTAAACTTGTTGCCCCTCCAGAGAAGTGGGAGATCAACCCCAGCGAGCTGACCTTCATGAAGGAGCTGGGCAGCGGCCAGTTCGGCCTGGTGAGGCTCGGGAAGTGGAGGGCTCAGCACAAGGTGGCCATCAAGGCCATCAGGGAGGGAGCCATGTACGAGGAGGACTTCATCGAGGAGGCCAAAGTCATGATGTGAGGATGGGAGGAGATGGAGGGAGGGAAGAGGTGAAGGGAGGTGGAGGAAGAGGGGCAACTGAAAGGAGTAAAGGTGAAAGAAAACTGGGAGATCAGGAGGAAAAACAAGGCAGGAAGAACAGAAAGAAGACTTAAAGTATGAGGCAGAGTCAATTCAGACGCTGCAGAAAGATGTGAGAAGCCATGTTTGACCTCTGCCGCCTTCTAGTGGAGCTTATAAATTACTACAACAACAGATTTCCCCAATTTACAGCAGAAGGCTCAGCAACTATTAGAGCAGTGCAGATGCCGAGGAATGCTTCAGTTTGTTTTTAAGTTGCTGTTCTAATTTTTCAACACATAATTAAAGATTTCTAGAGTTTTCTCATTAGTTTGAACCTGCTGGAAAAAGAGCAGCTGGAACTTAAAACTCCAAGTTAAAGACAGACCAGGAGGAAGTCCAGAAGACGAGAAAGTCCAGCAGCTCGTTGATGGTAGTTTCACCTTCAACAGCAAAGAAAAGAAACGTGGTGATAAATGGGACAATGTTGGGGATTTTTTCAACATTGGGTGCCTTTCAAACTTATGGGCAGGTTCAGAGGGTTAGTCGCTCTGCAGAAAATTTCCGCTATAAATTCAAAACTTTAAACTTTCGGATTGAAGAATGACTGAACTGCAGTCACATATCCAGATAGTTTGAGCCTGAGTCTGTCGTGTCCTCTCCAGGAGACTGTCCCACCCTAAGCTGGTGCAGCTGTATGGCGTTTGCAGCCAGCAGCGACCCATCTACATCGTCACCGAGTTCATGGAGCACGGCTGCCTGCTCAACTACCTCCGGCAGCAGCGGGGCAGCTTCAGTCTGGGCTCGATGCTCAGCATCTCCCTGGACGTCAGCGAGGGCATGGAGCACCTGGAGGCCAACGGCTTCATCCACAGGGACCTGGTAGGAGCCGCTCACCCCAAAAATTCCAGATTTTTGGCTACCTTCTTACTGTTTCTTCCCCTTTGCTTGCTCTGAAGGCTGCCAGGAACTGTCTGGTGAACGAGGCTCTGGTGGTGAAGGTTTCTGACTTCGGCATGGCCAGGTACGACTCCGACGCACTCATCCTTTACTCACAGCGCCTTACAGCAGGTTGGAAGATAAACGTAAATGCTGTTCACGTAGGTACGTGCTGGACGACCAGTACACCAGTTCATCAGGCGCCAAGTTTCCAGTGAAGTGGTCGCCTCCCGAAGTCTTCAACTTCTGCAGATACAGCAGCAAGTCGGACGTCTGGTCCTTCGGTGAGCGCCGATAAATCACCTGCAGCGAGCTCACGTCTGGGTCGGCCTCAGCGTCACGGTAACGTCTCTCCGCTGTTTGCAGGTGTGCTGATGTGGGAGGTTTTCACGGAGGGCCGCATGCCGTTCGAACAGAGTCCCAATCACGAGGTGGTTACCTTGGTAACCCAGGGTCACCGCCTGTACAGGCCCAAAATGGCGACGCCCAACATCTACGACATCATGCAGCTCTGTTGGCATGAGGTAACTCTAACTGCTATACATCCATATGAGTTGGAGGCATAATTTTATTGTATTGGTAACACGGTTGTCACGCCGTCTTCATGGTGTTTCCGTAGAGCTGCAGGACTTGTGTATGTGTCCTGTATGTGACAGGAGCAAATGAAAACTTGGAGGATTGAAGCCAAGCAGCCACTTTAAAACTCTGTGTTTTCCATCTGCAGAGACCAGAAGAGCGAGCGACCTTCTTTCAGCTTTCCCTCCTGATCTCCGACGCTCTGGAAGCCGACGTCCCTCGACTGAACTGACTGACAGCGAGAACCTGACCACTCTCGTCGTCTTAATTTATGCCACAACAGGAAGGACGACCGCCGGAACGGACCAATCACACCGCCCGTTCACCGATGCTCGCCCACCAATCACCTTCGCTTATCCGTTAGTCTGGAACAGCTGCACTCCTGACAGATGTTGGATTAGTTTCAGGGTGAATAACGCCAACATGAACTGACAGCAAACATGGTAACAGGATCTCATAACGGACAGGAGAACCTGAAAGGATCCAGGATCTGCCTCAGAGTTTCCTCGCAGTCAAACGTGAACTGTCCTGGAAATCTCACCAAATCTTCATGTGTGCTTTCTGTGTAATTTACCTGCACAACGAGTCTGTTTCCATGTAATTCCCATTAAAGAGTCCATATCATGGTTTTTTGCTTGAGCTGACTTTTTAGACAAATTGCAGTTATTTCACCTGATCTGCTTAAAACAGCTGAACGCTAACGTCGGAGCTTCCACCAAAGTTTTGATGCAAATACCAACCAAATTTGCTTCGTAGGAGAAATGTACATCCACAAGTGGAAAGTTAATATTAAAGAAGGCAAATTAGGATTTTGGGGGGTTTTCTCTTCATCTCAAAGGCTACTTCTCACCATGAAACGTTTCTGAGAACTGTGTGAATACGGCCACTTCTCAGAAAATAAACTGCTGATTGCACAATATTATCAAGACGCCCACCGCAGGCTGCCTCATGATTGAGGAAGTGCGTCTGGTTTCCATAGCCGTATCAAAACAAAGACTCTATTTTACTGGTTCGCGTTGAAGGCGGTAAGTTGTTCTTTAAGTTCATTCATGTTTAGTTTTAGCTCAAGTCTGGGTTTAGTTTGAAATTGAAAGTTAAGTTCATGTCAACACGAACTGTTTTTAAGTGAAATAGGTTTTGTTAAATCAAATGTGACTTTTATTTTGTAAATAAATCTTTTGTCGGTCAAAATGTCAATCCAGATCAGGTTGTATCACGACGTCTCGGGGCACTTTGACGTCGTCACAGTGCTACAACCTTCAATAAATAGCAATATGCCCACTGTCACAAGGAAATGTGACCGTTACACTGACGAGCCTGTTGTGAACGTTCCACATAACGAACGGGATATTTTGAATTTTTTCCATCACAAATTATCAGGACTCCAAGCTTTGATGTGGATGCACTGAAAGTAAACTGATAATAAAATGGACCAGAAGTGACACTTTTAGTTTTGCTGACTTTCTAAAAGTAAAAAATAATCAGATAAACAAATAAAACACATGGTTAAATCTACAGTGAGCACTATAGAGGTTTTAATTGGGGTTATCAGCGAGCAGCTTGATTGTATTAAGAATTAAATCGACAACATGGATGTGTTGAAACCACAGAGGAACAGAGTTTGGGGGGTGAAAGAAGATTCGGAGCCCACTGATACGAAGTTTTTCTCTGATGTGTCAGTTGCTGTGATTGTCAACATTTCACTGACATCATGCAAAATATGGCGGCATACGTGATCTGATGCTAAAAGACTGAAGTTCTAGAAGAAGATGAAACAACTGGGGGTTGCGAGGTTATCTCCACAAATTAAATAAAAATTAAAAAGAGATTCAAATTAGCTATAATTATTACAAAAGCTAAAATAATAGTTAAATACTGCTCACCTGTGTGAATCTGCTGCTTCTACAAACTGCGTGTTTACTCAATATTTAGGTTCATACATGGAAACTAGCAAGCAAGGTTTTTATATAACATCTTTACAAGACACGGTAAAGAAGATAAAATACAAAATGCGACAAAGTGAAGTTAAATGGATGAAGTAAAATGACTAAAAACAGCAAAGACAAGCTGAAAAAAGCAGAAACAAATTTCATAGACGAAATAATAAACTGAGCAAAAGGCGGACAAAAGGTTTGAAAAGCAAAAACACGCCAAAGCCCACAATAGATCAGAGAAGACTTAAATGAAATAATAGTGCAGAAAGGTTTTCTAAAAGCATCGACAGCTTAGACTAGACGTAACAAAATAAAATGGAGTGTTTGAAAGCGGTGGAATAAAGGATTGGCTTGAGCTTAGTTTTTAAACGATGACATTTTGGCCAAATCAAAGGCGTTTGACTGATCTATTCTGTGTCGAGCCTGTATCGAATAACTATGAAATAATACGGTTTGTCCCTGTAGAGGCTGGTGCACGAACATTTCAACCACCCCCGAGGTTTGCAGGTGTCTGGTACCATTTCTGAGTGTGGATTGTAGGCTAGTTAGCCGGATATGCTAACGTTAGCACATCACAGCGATAATCAATGTTAAATGCATTCCTCACGTTCTGGTTCTCTGGCTTTGGTTATTCAGCCAAAACACCAGCGTGCTAGCAAGTGGTTCCAGTCCAAATCTTCTTAAAACGTGACCTTCTGCAGCCACCTTGAGAAGGGCGTCGTCCTTCATCCGTTGCTCATTTTGGCTTTCTGTGCAGGCATCGCTAATCAAACAGCATTCTTGTTGATTTGTCTTCTCCACCACACTAACTGAATTGCCTGTTAGCTAATTACTCTGTTTGACTTCCTGGTGCACGGTGCAGTCTCTGTGCAATCCAAAAGGGAGTTTTGTCAACACAGTGGAGTTAACAGAGGTTCTCATGGGTAAGAATGGAGCTCTGGTTGATTCTCATACATACATACGAGGGCATATTAGCGGCCTTGTAGTAAGATCCCTCATTTCTGTGCTTCCCATTTACTATCTATGTAATGTTGCGTTTTCAGAGATCATCACATTGGTTGCTCCATATTTACGTAAAGTTTAGGTATCAGCCACTTCATGCAAAAACAGGGGATCCGCTCACAACTTGCCCTCCAATAACCTTTTAAACCAACAATTGTCTGTCGAAAATGGAGACAGATTTTTTGGCCAACAATTTTCTGCTATAAGAGAAAGTTTCCAAAGGAGCACATTTGTTTTCTCTTCAGATTAAATCCCACACTTCATGTGAAGATGACAGCACTCCAGATGTGGTGTTTCTGGCCCGTTGCTGCTCTCCTCCTTCTCCTGCCCATCGCTCCCACGTTGGCCGAAGTGGTGAGTTCGATGTCGGTCTGCGGCCACTTTCTCCTTGAGGAAACTCCGCCTCAGATCCCGGGTGTCGTGGAAGGCGGGAAAATCCTGAACCAGAACCGATACAAGCCCATCTGCCAGACGTACAGGAACGAGAGGAGGTTTGTGACGCTGTACGACGTCAAGAACAAGATCCCGGTGTTTTCTGCTTACAAGTACAGAGGAGTTGACGGAAAGGGAAGACCCAAAAAACACTGGAAGATTGAGCCGCAGGTAGGTTTCCTCTAAGATTCCACTTTTGGGTACTAGCGCAGTCACATCAGTAATGTAATGACAGAACTAGCATCAGAGGTACTGAAGGACCCATTTGCCACAAAACAACTTCCAACTGCAGGTACTATTTTCTGCCACGCAAACAGCCCTGAATGAGGTTCTACATTTGGGGTTCTTGTATCTCAACAGGCACAAAGGGACAGACCACCCTAAAACGACCTGTAAATTGTGTTGCATTGGGTTGTTCTCATGAAAAATGCCAAATAGTTGAGTAACAAAAAGAAAAGGGAGTCTGTCTTACCTTCACGCAGCTGGCCAGTCACGGCATACTGAAGTATTTGTGGATCTTGCATCAGACCATCTGACATGCAGTTTGGAGAAACTATAAATCCCATTTCTGACTGTACATCTCGTTTCTGATCCAGTTTCTAAAATATTGCTCATGCACAGTCTCCAGGAGCCCTTTCTTACCAAGTATGAGCATTTCAGTTGAAGAACTGAGCAGGTAACAACCCATGCTAGTGTCAACAAACTACTCTGTGGTCCACTGGTTCCTACTTCCTACGACACTGTTACGATGTGAAAGAGTAAGATCTTTTGGGGTGTTTTTACTGTTACGTTATCTTTTTCTCTGCCTTTAACTCTTTACAGCTTGAGAACGAACTTGCCAACAAGAACATGATGAGCAAAGACAAGCAGATATCCTACAAGCATCAGGCCGTCGACACTGATTTCAGAAGCAATGGGACGTTCGACAGAGGTCACATCCTGCCGAGCTCTTACGCCTGCACGGAAAACGACAAGCGCTCGACGTTCACCCTAACCAACGTCGTGCCACAAGCGGGTTCGTTCAACAAGGGCAGCTGGAGCAGGATGGAGCGCTGCGTCCAATGTGTGATGGACAAATACTGCACCAACAGCAGCGGCTTCACCGAGGGCTTCGTGGTAACTGGAGCGCAGCCCGGCTCCGGCAAAGTCCTCAACAACAGGGTCAACGTTCCCTCCGCGCTCTGGTCGGCCTTCTGCTGCTACAGCGCCGACATGCAGGCCTGGATAGCGAGCGCTCACTGGGGCGAAAACGTCCCCGACCGCGCCAAAAACAAACACCTGCAGGCGAAGACGCTGGCGGAGCTTCACGGCCTGCTGAGGACCGAAGACTCCGAGTTCGCAGTGTTTCCTGGAGCTCAGTGTCCTCTGCACACCACCGTCGCCGAGTTCTACCCGAAGGACATCAGCTGCCACTGCCCGCCCAGCGACTCGCCTGCCCCGCAAAGTTCTACATCTGCTTCTCTTACTGCAACATCATGTTCACGTTCCTCAACATCTGCCCCTTGCAGCTCCACATCTGCCCCTCAAACTTCAACATCTGCCCCTCATTGTTCTCCATCTTCCCATCACACTTCTACATCTGCTTCTCTTACTGCAACATCTGGTCCACTTTCCTCAACATCTGCCCCTCGCGACTCCACATCTGCCCCTCAAACTTCAACATCCACCCCTCATAGTTCCACATCTGCCCCTCATACTTCAACATCCAC